AGGAGGCGGAGGTTGCGGTGAGCCGAGATCGCGCCATTGCACTCCAGCCTGGGTAACAAGAGCGAAACTCCGTCTCAAAAAAAAAAAAAAAAGCTTCTTCCCCTCCGCAATGTAGACACTGGAACAAAGATATGCCAAAGCCCTGTTAGGACATTTCCCATGGAATTAAAAACAAATCCCAAACTGTAGAAAGATGTAAGAGGCGGGTCTTGAACTGTATGCAAGTGTGACAAGATCATAATCTTTCAAGGAAACTTTCCACTGCTTTTGATAAATTTCCCTCTTTTCTGCAGAGAAATCAAGAGGATTAAAAAAAATAAAAGAATATACAATACAACAGCATTATAGAAAATAATAATAAGTGTTCACTTGGATTAGTTGCGCATCAAATTATAAGGATAACTGCAATGGACTGATCATATTAAAAATGTTTAATCCATTAATTCATAACAATATTTTAAAACATTATTGGTCACTTTTAGACAATTCCAAGAAGCCAACTCATTATTTGGAAAACTGGTAATTAAATGGAAAGAATCAAACATTCTTTCCTATATGAACTGTCCTTCAGGGTAACCAAACAAATGATGAGGGAAAGTTTTACTTTATAGATAGAAGTATTATCTATGAAGGAAGATAATTAAAATGTCATTTGTAACCTCTAATGAATGAATCTAAAAATTATCAATAACTGGTAATATTACAAAAAGAAAGATAACCAGATACAACATGCATCCTAATAAAATTATGCATCATGACTTTATGGGTTTTTTTTGTTTTGTTTTTTTTTTTTGAGTTTCCAAGGTATGTTTTATTGGTATAAAACCAAAATAAGAGCTGGGCGTGGTGGCTCACACCTATAATCCCAGCACTTTGGGAGGTCGAGGCAGGCGGATCACCTGAGATCGGGAGTTCGAGACTAGCCTGACCAACATGGAGAAACCCCATCTCTACTAAAAATAAAAAATAATAATAATAATAAAATAAAATTAGCTGAGCGTGATCATGCATGCCTGTAATCACAGCTACTTGGGAGGCTTAGGCAGGAGAATCGCTTGAACCAGGGAGGTGGAGGCTGTGGTGAGCCCAGATCACCCCACTGCACTCCAGCCTGGGCAACAAGAGCAAAACCCCATCTCAAAAAACAAACAAACAAAAAAAAGATGAGGTAATCTCTTGTCTACTAGTTCGCTATATAGACGTAGGTTTAAAAAAAAAAAAAAGATTTTTGAGGAAAAAAGAAAATGTTTTACTTATAATAAAAAACTGATTAGTTTTGTCAATAATTTATCTCACCAAAACAAAAATAATGTTTATCAAATACGTAAAAAGTCAGTAACAGTATTGTTACAACTTCTGAAAAAAATCATAAAATTGAAAGGAAAAGAAAAATTTCTCAAGCCGTTGGTTTTTCTCATTTATTAAGGGAGAAAATAGGTCTTCATGATTTTGCTAAAAGACATACCTAACAATGCAAGGGGTAGGGAGGGAATGTCTTAAATCTCTAACCTATTGATAAATCTTCCCTTTTTGTTCATCCTATGAAGCAAGACTGCTTAAGGTCATGTTACACAGCAGCTACGTGATCTGGTGCAACACAACTATAATTAGTTTGCTTGTGCCTGATGCAAAGACTCCCAACTCTCTCAGTCTGTGTTATGTCCAAAGCTGTCCTTCACCTAATATATTAAAAACTACGCCCATGTGATCTTAGAGCATCAATCAAAGCTACAAAAAAGATACATGTAAGCTGGGCGTGGTGGCTCACACCTATAATCCCAGCACTTTGGGAGTCTGAGGCGGGCGGATCACGAGGTCAAGAGATCAAGACCATCCTGGTCAACATGTTGAAACCCCGTCTCTACTAAAAATACAAAAATTAGCTGGGCATGGTGGCGCACCTGTAGTCCCAGCTACAGTACTCGGGAGGCTGAGGCAGGAGAATTGCTTGAACCCAGGAGGCGGAAGTTGCGGTGAGCCGAGATGGCGCCATTGCACTCCAGCCTGGGTAACAAGAGCAAAACTCCGTCTCAAAAAAAAAAAAAAAAAAAGATATATGTAAAGTTATTTTATTTATTTATTTATATTTGAAATGGAGTCTCACTCTGTCACCCAGGCTGGAGTGTATGGCGTGATCTTGGCTCACTGCAACCTCAGCCTCCTGGGTTCAAGCAATTCTCCTGCCTCAGCCTCCCCAGTAGCTGGGACTACAGGTGCGCACCACCAAGCCTGGCTAATTTTTGTATTCTTAGTAGGGACAGGGTTTCACCATGTTGGCCAGGCTGGTCTCAAACTCCTGACCTCAAGTGATCTGCCCATCTTGGCCTCCCAAAGTACTGGGATTACAGCCATGAGCCACTGCACCCAGCGTTTTTTTGTTTTTGTTTTTTGTTTTTTTTTTTTTGTGTGTGAGAGAGTCTCACTCTGTTGTCCAGGCTGGAGTGCAGTAAGGTGATCACAGCTCACTGCAACCTCTAAGTCCTGGACTCAGGCTATCTTCCCACCTCAGCCTCCCAAGTAGCTGCTGGGACAATAGGCACACGACATTATACCTGGCTAAATTTTCTAGTTTTTGTAAAGATGGGGTCTCACTGTGTTGCTCAGGCTGGTCTTAAATTCCTGGGCTCAAGCGATCCTCCACCTCAGCCTCCCAAAGTGCTGGGATTACAGGTGTGAGACACCACACCCAAACATGAAATATTTGTCGTAACAAAAATCACAACTGAATCTGATAAAGCCTTTATACCTAACTATGAATTTTTAGGAAACACTTAAACAATACCCCAGAGATACAATCAGCAAAATCCAGACAGTGGAAAAATGAACCAGGTTATTTTTGTTTTCCAACAGCATCAACAAAAAACTGCAGAGAAAGAACAGATAGAAGGAGTACCTACAAAGTAAGAGACCTGAGAGATGTAGTCATCAACTGCAATACAGTCTTTATCTGGATTCTCATTCAAATAAATGCTTACAAAATGAGGTAATTATGAAAATTTGAACAAAACTGGATATTGGAGAACATCTTTAATTTTTTATATAAAATAATGACATAATGGTCATACATAATTTTTAAATCTGTATCCTTTATAGATATACACCAATTTCTATTTGCTTCAAAATAATCCAACTTATGGCACTGAAGGCAGGTGTATGGATGTGTATAGATGAAACGAGGTGAACCCTGAGCTGATAAGCACTGAAGTTGGTAGTGAATGTCTACATTAGTATGACTAATTTACTTTTTTTTTTTTTTTTTGAGACGGAGTCTCACACTGTCATCTAGGTTGGAGTGCAGTGGCGTGATCTCGGCTATCTTCAATCTCTGCCTCCACAGTTCAAGTGATTCTCCTGCCTCAGCCTCCCGAGTAGTTGCAACTACAGGCATGTGTCACTAAGCCTGTCTTTTTTGTTTGTTTGTTTGTTTTTGAGACAGAGTTTCGCTCTTGTCGCCCAGGCAGGAGTGCAACGGCTCGATCTCGGCTCACTGCAACCTCCACCTCCCAGGTTCAAGTGATTCTCCTGCTTCAGCTTCCTGAGAAGCTGGAATCACAGGTGTGTGCCACTACAGCCGGCTAATTTATTATTATTTTTTTTTTAGTAGAGACAGGGTTTCACCATGTTGGCCAGCCTAGTCTCAAACTCCTGACCTCAGGTGATTCAGCCACCTTGGCCTAACAAAGTGGTGAGATTGATTACAGGTGTCAGCCACAGCGCCTGGCCTTTTACAAATTCTTTAATAATCGTTTTTCCGGTAGTGGAATTTTCTAAAATATAGATATTACTGGATAAGACTTAAAAGGTTTTTCTGAGCTCTGACAGTATGATCTAAACAACTTATGCAATGGCTGAACCATTGTAAACATCCATTATCACTATCCTTAATTCTGAGATAAAGAAAACTTGATTCACAGAAATTCCTTACAACCCTAACTTCCTATTCAACCTCAAATTGGACTTCTCGCCAGGATGCCCTAACACAGTTGCAGATATCTGTATGAATCACCAACCCCATGATCTCCAAAGCTGCATAAACCAGGAGATCTTGCAACAATCCAACATTCGGAGCTACCAACACCACACTTCATCCTATCTTACTGGAGAATCCTACTCTGTAAAGATAATCGTGGCTTTCCTATATTCCCAGCTCAGTAATTCATACCTTCAACTCATCGAATAATGGTCCAGACAGAGTAAATTCATTTTATAAATCCATTCTTGCTTCCTTAATTCATCCCCTATCATAATCCTTGGGAAAAAGTTGAAAAAAAGAGGTGCTCAGGTATTTACAGAATGAAAACATTAATCCTGATTTATAAAAATAAAAGGAGCATTTAGAGATGGTATAGGATTATGTAGCTAAGAGGAAATGGGGACCAGGATCCTGAAGGGGGATCCCGTTAGCCAGAAATGTCAGGATAAGAAAAGCAAATGCTCATGAAGGCAAGAAAAAGCATCAACTCACCTCGGCCATGGCTTTCAGTATTGCAGATGGTTAGTCCTCCCTGGGGCCGTTCTCCTGAAAAATGATAGTGTTCTCAGATTGCAGGACTGGGAAGTAAAACCCTCTAGAAATCACACCAGAGGCTGGAGGACACTACCTCCATACTTCTTGGTCTTAACTCTAGTTAGTGGGAATATAGAATAAATTCTACTCCTTCCTCAACCTACAAACCCTAGGCTTTAGCTGAAGCAAGATGGATTCTGGGTAGCTGGATCCAAGGGAAGACAAGGACCCAGATTCATTCTCTCTCACACAAACTACCTAAGTCCCTGCCTTAGCCAAAGGATTCAGGTCAGACCTTGTCCCGCCTCAGTGACGCTGCTCTGAACCGACAATTAAGCTACTATGACCTGCCCTGAGCTACTAACCTACTATGACCCAAGACTGAGCTACCAGGACCTCAGTTGCAGCCCTCAGGTCCCCAATCCAGATTCACCTAAACGGTGCCCTTTGGCCAGGAACACAGTGCACTCAGATCATAAAAACCGAACACTTCCCTAATCAAGTGTTTTTCTTTCTCAACCTCAAAAAATTCAACTTCCCTCACCACGAACACACACACACACAATACCCAAACCCACCCCTAAACACACGGGTGCAGGAAGCACTCATTCTTCTAGCTCTGTTTTATTTTTAAAAATATACATACATATATACATACATTCATACATATACATATATACACATATATATGTATATGTGCCTATAATCCCAGCTACTTGGGAGGCTGAGACACGAGAATCCCTTGAACCTGGGAGGCAGAGGCTGCAGTGAGCCGAGATCATACCATTGCACTCCAGCCTGGGTGACAAGGTGAGACTCTGACTCAAAAAAAAAAAAAAAAAAAAAAAGATCCATCAAGGGGATCAAAACAGACCACGTATTTAAAAAAAAAAAAAAAAAAAGAAATACAACCTTCTGCTGTTGCCAAAAGGTGAGGCTGTTTTCAAAAATATCTCGGTGCTGAAAGGACTAGGTCTCCTTTTAAGTCTCCTAAAAGCGGATCCCATTAGCCAATTACTGAAAACTTACACAACAATAAACAGAATACTTGTACCACTCCTCCAGGCTATGACACAGTCTTCAACAGCTATCAGTCAACTGAAATAGTCTGTGAAATGCTCTAAGTCCCTACTGATATGTAAGAAAAGAATTGTTGGCCGGGTGCTTGTAATCCCAGCACTTTGGGAAGCGGAGGTGGGTAGATCACGAGGTCAAGAGATCAAGACCATCGTGGCCAACACGTCTCTACTAAAAATACAAAAATTAGCTGGCCGTGGTGGCACGTGCCTGGAGTCCCAGCTACTCGGCAGGCTGAGGCAGAAGAATCTCTTGAACCCCGGAGGCGGAAATTGCAGTGGGCCGAGATGCCACTGCACTCCAGCCTGGCCTACAGAGTGCGTCTCCGCCACAAAAAAAAAAAAAGAAAGAAAAGAAAGTACCAGTTAGTCCCAGAAAAACAAAAAACTACCAAAACCAGAAGGACCCATCACAACAATGGCCTCACACAATAGCCCAAGATAAAGGGATTCATTGCAATTAGTCAGTAGACATACACAAACCAAGTATAAATTGGATACAATAAAATAACAAATTAGCCGGGCGCAGTGGCTCAAGCCTGTAATCCCAGCACTTTGGGAGGCCGAAGCAGGTGGATCATGAGGTCAGGAGATCGAGACCATCCTGGTCAACATGGTGAAACCCCATCTCTACTAAAAATACAAAACATTAGCTGGGCATGGTGGCACGTGCCTGTAATCCCAGCTACTCAGGAGGCTGAGGCAGAATTGCCTGAACCCAGGAGGCGGAGGCTGCGGTGAGCCGAGATCGCATCATTGCACTCCAGCCTGGGTAACAAGAGTGAAACTCCGTCTCAAAAAAAAAAAAATTAGCCAAATATCCCAAATGAGAGCTTATTGCATACTCAATTTGTTATCACCTAGGAGGTAAACATCCTATTAATATTTTAAACCCCTAATAATTAGCGATATTAATAAAGACTTAAGCTTAAAAAAAAATACCTGGCCAGGCACAGTGGCTCATGCCTTGTAATTCCAGCACTTTGGAGGGCAGAGGTGGGCGGATCACAAGGTCAACAGACCGAGACCACCCTGGCCAAAAGGTGAAACCCTGTCTCCACTAAAAATACAAAATTAGCTGGTATGGTGTTGCACACCTGTAGTCCCAACTATTTGGGAGGCTGAGGCAGGAGAATGACTTGAACCTGGGAGGCAGAGGTTGCAGTGAGCCGAGATGCGCCACTACATTCCAGCCTGGCAACAGAGTGAGACTCCATCTCAAAAAATAAAATTTAAAATTACCATTAATCCAGGTCAACGTATCTTCATAACAGGGGAATGAAACTGCAGACCATGAAAAAATCTAAAGCACAAATCTTGTCCAATAAGTGAAGTGAGTTACAAATATTAAAATCTATATTAAAAATAGAAACTTACATGTCTGATGAAGTACAAAAAGGGACTCAGCCTCATTATCAATGTAACGCCGGTTGCCTCGCCAGGAGGCCGGACACACCTACCTCTGCACTCAGCACCTGACTCTGGGACCGGCACCAGGCTCTGCACTCGGCACCTAGCTCTGCGGCATGGCTCCCCTGGAAGGCGCAATCCTTGCGGGCTCTTGCACTAGAAAAACCCGCCCAACAGCCTACCAACTAATAGCAGCCCGCCCCATCCCAATCCCGCTCCCCTGGAGCCAATCAGAGTACCCAGCTGTTGCTGGTTACCCGTAGCCACAAAAACCCCATGCCCCAGGAAGTCAGCGAGACTTCTCTGGCCCCTTTCTGCAGACCATAAAACCTCGCCTGGGAGCTGAATAAATTTGCATTTAATTTTCTTATACTGGCCTCAGTTTCTTCATTTTAAACTCAGCAATAGCCCTTACAATCAACAGCTTAGGAAACTTAAATGCATATTGTAAGGCTGGTTGCCTCGCTGGGAGTTGGAACACGCCCATCTCCCTCCCCGCTTGAAAATTACTTTATCAGAATATGCCCATCATCTAGCTCCGCCTTGGAAATCCCCTCTGCACTCGGCACCTAACCACACCCTTGGAAATCCCCTCTGCACTCAGCACTTAGCCTGCTCACCGGAAATCCCACCTACCTACCAATAGCAGCTCATCCCATCCACATCCTGTTTCTCCAAATCCAATCGAATGCCTTCACTCCCTATAAAACCCCACTCCTAAGAGGCGTCAGGTGCGACTTTCCTGGCCCCTCTCCCTGGGATTACAGAACCTCGCCAGGGAGCTGAATAAATTGGCATCTAATTTAAATTGGCATCTAATTTTCTTGTGCTGGCTTCAGTTTCCTCATTTTTAACTCGGCAATAAACCTACAGAGGAAGGCCGGGTGCGGTGGCTCACGCCTGTAATCCCAGCACTTTGGGAGGCCGAGGCGGGTGGATCACGAGGTCAAGAGATCAAGACCATCCTGGTCAACACGGTGAAACCGTCTCTACTAAAAATACAAAAAATCAGCTGGGCATGGTGGCGCGTGCCTGTAATCCCAGCTGCTGGGAAGGCTGAGGCAGGAGAATTGCCTGAACCCAGGAGGCGGAGGTTGCGGTGAGCCGAGATCGCGCCATTGCACTCCAGCCTGGGCAACAAGAGCGAAACTCCGTCTCAAAAAAAAAAAAAAAAACAAACCTACAGAGGATAAACTTTACACATATTACTAAGTGAAAGAAACCAATCCAAAAAGACTACATACTGTATGATTTCAACATTCTGGAAAGGCAAAACTATGGAAACAATAAACAGATTATGACAGGAAGGGAGGGATGATCCGTCAAGTCACAGAGGCTTTTTACAGCAATGGAATTAATATGGATGACATCATAATGGCAGGCACATGTCACTATACATTTATCAAAACCCACAGATGTATAACACCAGGAGTGAACCCTAATGTAAACCACAGACTGGGTGATAATAATGTGTCCATGTGGGTTCATTAGTTGTAATAAGACTATCACTCTGGTGGGGGATGTTGATGATGGGGAAGACCATACATGTGTGGAGGAATATGTAAAATCTCTGTACCTTCTGCTCAATTTTACTGTGAACCTAAAGGTGCCCTAAAAAATAAAGCATATTAAAACAAATAACAAACAACAAAAAATAAGTCCTGTTACATGCTACAACATGTTTGAACCCTGAGGACATTATGCTAAGTCAGGAATTTAAGCAATGTATTCATAAATACCCAGTGGCTCCAAGAATAAATTGCGGCCGGGTGTGGTGGCTTACACCTGTAATTCCAGCACTTTGGGAGGCCCAGGTGGGCAAATCACCTGAGGTCGGGAGTTTGAGATCAGCCTGACCAACATGGAGAAACCCCATCTCTACTAAAAATATTTAAGTAACCAGGTGTGGTGGCACATGCCTGTAATCCCAGCTACTCAGGAGGCTGAGTCAGGAGAATTGCTTGAATCCAGGACATGGAGGTTGTGGTGAGCCAAGATCACGCCACGGCACTCTCCAGTCTGGGCAACAAAAGCGAAACTCTGTCTCAAAAAAAAAAAAAAAAAGAATAAACTGCAATGGCAGTTAAAAATATTTTAGGAGGTCAGGAGATCGAGACCACCATGGCCAACATGATGAAACCCCATCTACACTAAAATTCAAAAAAAAAAAAAAATTACTCAGGCATGGTGGCACAAGCCTGTAGCCCCAGCTACTCCGGAGGCTGATGCAGGGGAACTGCTTGAACCAGGAGGCGGAGGTTGCAGTGAGCTGAGATCGTGCCACTGCACTCCAGCCTGGGTAACAGAGCAAGACCCAGTCTCAAACAAAAAGAAAAGAAAACCAAATATAAGAACCATAAATAATTTTTAGTGTAAATACAAGATATGGTGAATGCTGTAAGATTCCAATCTTGAAAGTAATGTATGTTATACGTGCATAGGAAACTTAGTAGAAGAAAACAGATCAAAATATTAACAGGGGTTATTTCTGGGTAGTAGATTTACTTTTACTAGAAGAAAATAGATCAAAATATTAACAGGGGTTATTTCTGGGTAGTAGATTTACTTTTGCTCTTTGTAACGCCGTATTTTCCAAATTATTTAAAATAATCAGTGTGTGTGGGGGTGTGTGTGTGTTTAAAAAGGCAACACTTTACTACGCTGGGAAAATTGTTCTATTTTCTAAATTAATAAGTGAATACTGGCCGGGCGCGGTGGCTCATGCCTGTAATCCCAGCACTTTGGGAGGCC